AGTTAATTTGAATGTTTTCCTCATTCTTCAACCTTGTCAGAGCAAACTGATTCAGTTAACCGTACATAAAATTGGTTTAATTGAATATCAATTTTGATTAAAAGTTATAGTTTACTTGATTATGAACAAGTATAATTTATAGAAATTAAATATTCTTCACACAATCGGACCGTACGTTAAAAATTGAGCAGTGAATAAATGAAATAAAATAAAACCAAATAGTAAAATTGCTTTTAATCATCTTGATAACATATAACATTGCAATAATTTTAATCATAATAATAATAACATTTACAGATTGTACAACTTTAAAATTCATATAACTTAAATACAACACTATTCCTTAGCTAGGAGCTAAATTGGACTACTTAAAAGAGATACACATAGATTACAAAAAACTAACGCGAAACCGCACTGAAAGTGGATATATTGAAAATCTAATGTCAGCAAATAAAAATTGTACCGTTCACAAAAAAATCAAAAGTTTTATTTCAATTTAATTTTGATGTCCTTTGAATGGCCACGTGTCGATTCTTCTTTTTCAACAATAATTTGAGAAATTTGGGATAGAATGGTTAAGATATTATTCTGAGACAACTTCTTTACTCTGTTAGCGAAATCTACAAATTTTTCATCTACAATTGCTGAGTTCATTATGACGCTCTGATTTAATTTTAAATGATCAACGTCATCACCAATCGTGTTGGTGGAACTATCGGATTCGTTCCCAAACTCGCTGCTTTCGCTGCCTGAATCGCTCTCATTATAATTTGGCGTCTTTACTTTCCTCTTCCTCGACTTTAAGGAAGTATTCTCATCATCATCAGAGTCAGCTTCTTCGACTTGTTTGCGCCTATTACGGAAATTTCTTGATTTATTACTATTGGCCGAAACATTTGGTAATTTAGCGATTTGCAAATATGGATTTAAGAATTTCATTTCAGCATCTAAACGAAAAGCCATTGAAGCATTGCTCAAGTACTTTACGTAGGAGTCTCGTAAGTTCTTCCATTTTCTTTGTACACTTGCAACTGCAAATAATACAAGTAGTATTGGTAACTTCGATTGCTTACTTACTAAAATTAGTTAGTGTTAATAATAAACTTATCAGGGTGTGAGTTTTATCAATTTGCACACACTAGTGTGCGATACAGAGTGTCGGATTCTCATGATCTTAAAGCCAGAAGGTTTTATTATTATTGAATTAATACGGGTTGTAAAGGGATGTTTATTGACGAAACATTTTCAGTGAAATCGTAAAGGCTTGCAAATTAAAAGTTTCCCAGTCAAGTTAACTTTGGTATTTTTATGAACTTACATGGATCATTGGCTCTACTTAATACAATAATTAAAATTGGAGTACAGTTAAATAAAAGTCTAAATAATAAATTAATAATAACTACTAAAATACCTATTAATAGTTAATTCAAAATGCATAGTTTTAAGATATACTTTTTAAGCTATTTATTGTATTTTAGGGCCTGGGTTTGAAAAGCATCTTTATGTATAATACCTAATACTTCGATAATAAGACGTATATTTAAAATCGACCATTTAGTGCAATATTAAATGCTTACGAAAAATAGCTACTGAATTTATTTTGGTTTTTATTAACAGTAAAATATTCAGAATTTAAGTTATTCGTGTGGAATGTTATTATTTAAAAAAAAGTTGACTTGTTCGCACAAAATCACATGAAAACTTGATATCCATTGACAAAAATGGAATGCATCTAGATATATCGATAGATAGTAAGACAACGGTTTATATAAAAGAACAATTAACGTTTATTAACTAACCAAACTAGCTCAAACCAACTCAAATTGACCCAAAATGACCAACCTAATAACTAAACGAAAAGCTCGTAAAAATATGAAAAAATAAAGAAGAAAAAACCTTGTATGAACTGCTTGAGTTATAGTGTATATTAAGTTAAAAGAACAGCAAAGGCAAGCTTTCCATTTTGAGGAAGATAAATTAGTCATATGTTAAGCACGGTTTCTGTTTTCTGTTATTCTTCAGGCATTTTTGGTTAACCCTTACCATCTGCATTTAGTTCTGCTGCAACTTCCTTCCAAGCATCTCTTCGTGCTAGCGTTCGTTGAGAACATAAATCGTACAGAACTGGGTATTTTTTAACAGATGCAATTATATCTCTGGAATCCATTTTGAGCCGTTCAACTTTGCAGATAATCTAGCTGACTGAACACAAGAGACCGTTAAAGCTGTTTAAATATATTGTGACAATTTTCTGGTTATTTCTGGGTCCATTAGTCGATCGCCAACTGTAAAATCAGAATGTTGGCAGCAAATCCTGAAATGACGTTACCAACTTTATTTACACCACATCATAGAGTAAGTAAAATAAGTAAAATATTATTTTACTTTCTCTATGCACCACATTACACTTTATCTTATACATCGACGTATTTATTATATATACAGATTAAAGTATGGTCGGTCCCAAGCTTTTTGGCAGTGACGCAATAATTGGCGTTCTTTTTCTATTACTTGTCTACCGAGCGAGACGGAAACTTGATGCTATTAACATATACTTTTCATGTTGCTACCATTTATCGAAGTATGGAAAAATATTAAAATTATTGATTTGATTTACTACTGAATGTTGGCAGTTTCTTTGAATTTTTTCTAGTTTTTTTGTAAAAAAATACGCCAATGAAAGAGAAACGTATAACACATATTAATTCCCCAGTATCATATTTTACTGGGCAATTTTTTAATATCGCTAAATGCATAAGTAGACAAGGGTGTGGTATTAATCCCCTTTATTGATTTGACTTGGGGAATAATTAAACTTACAAAATGTAATAACTAAATGTTAATTAGAAGAACATGTATTTTGTTATAGGACTTTTGATCATCGTAGCTAATCCTGAAACTGGTGGGTTTGGCCTAAATTTCTTCTAAAAAATAATAACACTTATACTGTTTTATTTAAAATACACTATTAAATAATTTTTACAAATACCCACCCAATAGAAATTTCAATATTTCTGTACATGCAATTTGGTAACGGAAGGTCGGATCTACATCAAATTAATATAGAATATCGGCCCCTTTTTTATATATTGTTTAATAACTTCCTTCGGGGCCGATTTTAAGAGCTATTTAGGTTGCATTAACAATAGCTCTAAAGAAACATAAGCGAAAATACGAAATCGTAACGATTTAAAACAAGGTTGGGGTATTTTGAGGACTACGGGTCACTAATTACGGTTTATCAGGAAGTATTAATTTCTAAAGGCATCGGAGTTTTTGTCAAGTATTAAGGAGGCGACAAACTTTAGGAGATTAGATTTCGAAAACGGTAAAAGCTTTTTGAATATTTTTTTGAATTCTTTGATAGAGAATTGAAAGCTCTATCTTTCTTAAAAGATAGAAGTGAGAATTTACAGGTCTTCAATCAACCTCGAAATGGGGCGGAAATACCTGATAAGGCAAAAGAACCATTTCGTGAGAGCGGCTATACTTTCACCAATTAAGCATGATCAGAAAATCCGATTTTCTCAGTAGGTACATGTAAGTGAAACTGTTCAAATGGTAATCCGTTTAGGAAAAGCCTTCCCTGCATATGTTGGAAGCCTTCTATAGTATAAAAACGGATAAACAAGTTTGAACGAAAAAAATTTACCTGCACCCCGAACTGATCACATTCTATTACAAAGGCATGACAATAATTAATTTGGCAGTCGTTTAGCGCTGAGTCACCCTGTATGGTAGTGATAATAAAAAATGGATTATAAATTAAACAGTTAACTTAACGACTAGCCTGCTAATCGTACTAATTAATACTGAAAACAAGGAAATTTGTCAGAACACTTGGAATTGCGAGAACAAGCAGAATATAAAAACACCGCTTTGAGTTTGTTTGAATATGATTGAACTGGATCAAACAGATTTGCGGTGGTTCATTGGTAAACACGACTTAACATCTATTCGAATAAATTATAGTTACACTAAACTGTATGCTAAGAGGGACTTTAAACAATTACAAGGAAATGGAAACATGTACATTTGAAACCCTTGATTTTTGCAACAGCAACAATCTTCTTGATTGTGAACAAAACAATTCCGCAAGCTAATGTGTAATTTTTAAGTCATCCAGTGATCTATTTGAACATGTTGCAAATATTTACGCATCTCACACTTGTTGCAAGCACACTTTAAATCTAAGACGATTTACCAAAATATTTACACTATCAATCAACCAACGTAAAAATC